TATCAAATAACTAGTTTTCCTATTTTAACCGCACAGGCAAGGCTTAGGTGTCAGGAGGTCAGAGCATATGGAATTTTTTTAAAACTAAGATAAACAATGAAACCCAATAACATATGCAGGGCAAATGGCTCCAAAACAGACATCACTAATATGAGTTATATCTGCATTAATAAAGCATGGCACCAAGGGCATAGTGGGATCAAAATATTTTGAATAAGTGTGAAACTGAAAGATGACATCAGAGCTCAGAACTCTGCCTAAGAATTACAAAGTAGGCTTGAAAATTTGCAGGAGACGGGTCTGCAGGCCTCCTCCAAAGCCACGACTACAGCCAGGTTTTAGGATTGTTCAGCTCATTCGTCCTGTAGGACGGAGAATGGAAAGAGGGCAGAGGATCCGAAGGAGCAGTCTTTCTCGTTCAGTCTCCTTAGCACACTCAGGTGTCCGTCACAATTTTCTGGTACAATTCAAGAAAGAGTTGTGAGGCCAGGAAAAGGAAGAACAAAGGAAACAGGAAAATAATCGATCCCAAGGACAGGCCTCTCGCCCTAAATTTGCTCTGAGCATAGTAGAGTCCAGAAAAATTTCTCTTTGAGGCCGGGTACGGTGGCTCATGCCTGTAATTCCAGCACTTTGGGAGGCCAAAGCAGGTGGATCAAGAGGTCAGGAGTTTGAGACCAGCCTGGGCAACATGGTGAAACTCCATCTCTACTAAAAACACAATAATTAGCTGGGTGTGGTGGTGCCGGCCTATAATCCCAGCTACTGGGGAGGCTGAGAAAGGAGAATGACTTGAACCCAGGAGGTGAAGGCTGCAGTGAGCTGAGATTGTGCCACTGTACTCCAGCCTGGGTGACAGAGCAAGACTCCGTCCTCCCAATCTCCCCCACTTTCTAGAACCTTTTGTGCCTTAAGGTCCAGGCTTGTGAGTCTGGGTAATGACACACTCTCCAGAATCAGACTAACTCAACGTGGGGCCCAGGATTCGCCTTTCACTAACCCTGTGACTGAGCAGTTTTTCCCTAAGGCTCAGCTTCCCTAGTTGTGAAATAGAAATAAGAAATGTGAAATAGGAACATACTGCTCCCAGATTCTGTAAGGAGGACATAAAATAATAATGCTTAGCACAGTCTGACACATAGTGAGCACTCAGTCTAGGTCATTAGTACATTATTGTTGTAGTCATTGCTATTCTGAATTGACTACCCCCATTATGGAATAGTTTTCTAAACAGGAAATAGAAAAGGCATTAGAGGCCAGATTCAAACATGGACACTGGGGCTGGGGATGCTGGCATCCTTAGATGCTTTCAGCTGTGCTAGGTCAGCCACTTAATTCAGGTTTGAGGACTTTCTCTGCAGAAGACTCCAAAAGGGGTTCTGGGGAACATGGAGGGATACAGAGGAATGTGGTGTGGTCAGGCCTGATAAGCACATTAGCTGCCCAGGATGATTCCACAAGCATTGCCATCCAATTCAAGTGGCTGTTGTATAAAGTTCACTTCAAAATCAAAGATGGGCCTCTTTGAATCTGAAGTAACACCAATCATCCTGACCCCTGCCCTCACCAAAATATATATAGTAGTTTAATAAAAAACTTCAGCTTAAAACTTTTTGTAATATTATTTTCAAACTGCTTTAAAATATGTCTAAGCAAAAGAGTTTTGTTCTTTATACCCTTTGAAAAAAGTGTTATTCCAAATTTAAGCAACATATCTGCCTAAGCTAAGAACACTGACTGAATGTCATTTGTCCCTTTGCATCCAAAACATTTGTCTGCCATTGTATAAACATGACCGAGTCATGGCTATTTGAAAATTTGACACATAGGTTCTGCTTCATCTTTAATTTTTTCTGTGAATAAAAAGGTGCTGGCTGGGCACGGTGGCTCATGCCTGTAATTCCAGCACTTTGGGAGGCCTGGGTGGGTGGGTCACCTACCTGAGGTCAGGAGTTCGAGACCAGTCTGACAAACATAGTGAAACTTCATTTCTTCTAAATACAAAAAATTAGCCAGGTGTGGTGGTGCATACCTATAATCCCAGCCAGTTGGGAGGCTAAGGCAGGAGAATCACTTGAACCCGGGAAGTGGAGGTTACAGTGAGCAGAGATTACACCATTGCATTCCAGCTTGGGCAAGGAGAGTGAAATTCTACCTCAAAAAAAAAAAGGTGCTGAGGCCAGAAACTGGATAATGGCTGAGGACCCTACACTGACTCCCTCAATCAAGCCCCAGAATATATCCCTACATTTGCAAAAGAGAATCTGTATGCTTGGTATCCCTTCTCACCATTCCCCTCGGTTAGCCCAAACTGAAAGAGACTTGAAGGCTCAACTAAGAGAGATAAGGAGACAGTCAATTAGATTTGAAGTTGAACTGATTCAACAAGATTTAAAATGATCTGGGAAAAGGGCATGGGCCCAGACTGCACTCTTTTTAGAAGCAAGTCAGGCCTCCATCAGACAGAGCTCTGCCCAGCTTTGAGGAGGCCTCTGGCAAATTTTCTTCCCCACTTGAAGCCAAACGTCCCTCAGTCTGCTGTGAGTCCTAGAGACATGGTGAAGGAAAGTGGGGGTGGGGGGTGAGCTGGGCTTTTATCTCCCCATGCAATCAGAGCCATGCAATTATCTTTCTGCACTAATAGAAGGATGAGCAAAGAGAACATGACCCCACCCTTTAATTTCCTCTCATTGTCAACAGAGTGACCCTTTCCCTGGGTGGGAAATCTCAAATTGCTTAATTTTTGTGACTTTTATGGCTTTGGCTACTGAGTGAGAAAGCCAGAGAGAGATCGAGAGAAAGTTTGAAAGTATTAAGGCCGGACACAGTGGCTCACGCCTGTAAGCCCAACACTTTGGGAGACCAAAGCGGGAAGACAGCTTGAGGACAGGAGTTTGAGACCAGCCTGGGGAACCCCTACTTGAACAAAAAAATTAAAATTAGCCAGGTGTGGTGGTGCATGCCTGTAGTCCAGATTACTTGGGAGGCTAATGCCGGAAGATCACTTGAGCCCAGGAGTTCAAGGCTGCAGTGAGCTATGATTATGCCACTGCACTCCAGCCTGGGTGACAGAGTAAGACTGTATCTTAAAACAGTAATTTTAATTAAAATTAAAAGTATCAAGTACTTGAAAAAGTGTTTTTTATGGTATCACTAAGTCATATGTCCCTAATGCTGAGAGGAGAACTTTTAAAGACAAATCTCTCTGTAGCTGGTCAGTCTCTTTGCCAATTTGCAACCTCAGTAGCCTCCACTGCACTCAGCTCATCCCACTGGAATGCCCAGGTCACATGTTCATGTCCTCATTTAGGGAGAGGAGAGAGGGATGTAGACATTTAGTATATTCTTGAATTTCTAATGTTCCTCTCTTTGGAATTCTGTAGCCATGTCAGATAATTTTATTCTAAGGATACCAACTTTACCTAATCATCATTAGATCTAGGAAAAAAAACACCCTATCTCTCCCAAATAGTTTTCTGAGTTCTGGCATTAGTTTTGTTTTCAAAGTAATGACCAGCACTCCAAGCCTGCATAGCCTTGCTGGAGCCCTCTCCACCTGGAGCCCTGCCCATCAGCCCTGCTGGGCTTCTTCAGCTCCTCTGTGATGAGCTCCTTCTGCTTTGGGGATGATTTTGTTTTCATCTCGTAATTCCTCCCCCTGGCCGTTTCCACCCACCTTTCACGCATTCGCTTAGCATCATTTCCCACAGGAAACTCTCACAGCCATATGTTCTCCTTGTCCAGGCATCTATGGCTCCTCCTAGATGACTCCTCATACACATGCTTTTGGCTGCCTTGTTCTCCTCTGCAAGCTCAGGAACCACGTCTATCTTATCACTGTACCCTGGTGCCTAGCAAAAGATTTATACCTGCGAGGGACTCAATAACCTCTGGTGAAAGTTAATTTAAAAAAAGGAAGAGAGGGAGGGAAGGAGGAAGGCAGGAAAAGAGGAAGCAAGGGAAGCAAGAAGGTAGAGAGGAAGGACAGAAAAAGAGATCAGGGCTGCGCGCGGTGGCTCTTGCCTGTAATCCCAGGACTTTGGGAGGCCAAGGCAAGTGGATCACCTGAGATCAGGAGTTTGAGACCAGCCCGGCCATAATGGCCAAACCCCGTCTTTACTAAAAATACAAAAACAGGGCCGGGTGTGGTGGCTCACACCCGTAATCCCAGCACTTTGGGAGGCCGAGGTGGGTGGATCACGAGGTCAAGAGATCGAGACCATCCTGGTCAACATGGTGAAACCCCGTCTCTACTAAAAATACCAAAAAATTAGCTGGGCATGGTGGCGCGTGCCTGTAATCCCAGCTACTCAGGAGGCTGAGGCAGGAGAATTGCCTGAACCCAGGAGGCGGAGGTTGCGGTGAGCCGAGATCGCGCCATTGCACTCCAGCCTGGGTAACAAGAGCGAAACTCCGTCTCAAAAAAAAAAAAAAAAAAAAATACAAAGACAGAAAAAGAAATTAGCCAGGCATGGTGGCATGCACTTGTAGTCCCAGCTACTTGGGAGGCTGAGGTAAGAGAATAGCTTGAGCCCGGGAGGTGGAGGTTGCAGTGAGCCAGGATCATGCCACTGCCATCCAGCTTGGGTGATAGATTTAGACTATGTCTCAAAGCAACAACAAAAGAAAGAAAGAAAGAAAGAAAGAAAGAAAGAAAGAAAGAAAGAAAGAAAGAAAGAAAGAAAGAAAGAAAGAAAGAAGAGATCACTGCAGAGCCATTCCCAATTTGTCATACCCTAAATATGCTATTTCTCACTCTTCCCCTTTTTTCTCTCTCCTCATTCTTCTTTTCACAGAAGCTCCAAAATTAAAATAAAATTAAAACCAACCTGTCTGTGTGTACCACAGTTGGGTCTGTACCGTGGGGTTTTGTTTGTTTTTGTCATTCTACACCCTGCCTCCACAAATTCAAATATATCTCAGAGCCCATGTACTGGATGAGTGTGAATCGGTAGGTCCCTCTCACACACATCCCAATAAATAAATCACAAGATCTGTTTTATTGAAAGATGATTTTTTAATTTAGGATTTGAAAATTTTACAAAAGTCGTCTTAAGCCATCCAGTAATTCTACCTTGACAGTGAGTGACATTGCAAAACTAATAAAATGAAAACATTAGAAATATTATTTGGAGGTACAGGGAGATGAGGCACATTTTGGGGGCAAATGTGGAGAACATGTAGCATTTGGATAGTTCCATGTTTTATTTATATTTTCGTTCCATTAGCAACTCATGCTTGAAGTGTCTATTTAATGAAACAGATGTGTATTTTATTTAATAAAAAGAAAGCTTCTCCCCCTCCCCAACCAATGTAGAAATTGGAACAAATATATGCCAAAGCACTGATACGGCATTTCTCATGGGGTTAAAAACAAATCCCAAACTGTATAATGCTGTAAGAGACGCACATTGCACTGTATGTAAGTGTGACTCGATAAAAATCTTTCAAGGAAACTTTCCATAGCTTTGGATGAATTTCCCTCTTTTGTGCAGAGAAATCAGAAGAATAAAAAAATAAATAAATGGAAAGAGAATATAATACAATAGCATTATGGAAGAGAATAATACATGTTCAATTGGATTGGTCTTCCTCTTTCACTTCTTCACCTTAAGAAATGCAGTGCAGGAATGGCTGAATTCCAGGGCAGGGCAAGAAATAGAGTGCAGTGTAGATTCATTCATGACAGGAGATTTCAAAAGTCAGAATTATTAAGCCCGGGCTGAAAAATAAGAGAGATTTACTTAGGCATTAAGGCTATGTACTAGGCAGTAAAACTGATAGATCCTTATTACATTGTCCCATGAGAGACTGGGCCACTCAGGGAAGTTAATGCTAAGGAAATTTAAAGCAAGTTATAGGAAATACTTCTTCACTTAGCAGAATTCATGCTGAGGAATTTGCTGCCACTGGCAGCCGTAAAATCAATCACCGAGTTGGATTTTTCAAAGGGCCAGGATAATGTATGACTTACTCTTCTGGCTAGTTGGGGAGGACAGGAGCAATCAATTCACCTGCTTCTAGGCAATCACAGTTGATTACAAGTGGGGTCAGCAAAAGGATGTTCCCCACACTTGATCAGGATCATTAAAAAGTGTTTGCCCATGCTCACAGGTCCTAGAAGACTGGGAATGGGATGGGATCAAATGGCCTGACCCAATGTGACAGCTTTTTGACCAGAACAGAAAATTAAGCAACGCACACACAAAAATCAATGCCAGCAACAAATTAAAGATATTCCTCAAATATGTTTTCATAGAAGCAATTTTGTCCCTGGTAATGGAAATATTACACAATGTTTTTGTTTTTAATCTTACTCTCCAACAAGTATTTTCAAAGCACATCTGCCAAACTTGGGAACAGCTAACGTGTATAACTTTCTTTCCCCCAAAAGAGAGTAGAGTGTGGTTGAAAAGCTGTGAGTAAACTACAGATATTAGCAAGGCGATGTTAATGTTGAGGTTATGATGTTGAATGTCGGTAGTGAAGTCCTTTGATAAAGCCACCACAGTTTGGATTCAGCTTTCTGGTTGTTTCTTAGCTGTTATCTTCCTCATCTCTTCAACTTTTTTTCTTTTATGAAAATAGGATAAGGTCTCCAGGACTTCACTTTGTGCTACTGCAAATGCATCAAAGCCAATATCGTGTCTTTGGCATTCTAATCTATGAACTTCTGAAAGAGAAACCAAAAAGCCATGTCAGGTATGGTTGGAACCCGCATTTTCATCTGGGGGCAGAGTATCTCACATAGTCTTCTAGTAGAGAAGAGGTTCCACCATCTTGGCTAGGCTAGTCTTGAACTCCTGACCTTGTGAGCCACCCACCTCAGCCTCGCAAAATGCTGGGAATACAAGCATGAGCCATCGCACCAGGCCTTGTTTTGTTATTTTTAAAGCTTCAGCTGGGTGTGATGGCTCACACCCGTAATCCCAGCACTTTGGGAAGCCGAGGTGGGTGGCTCACAAGGTCAGGAGTTCAAGATCAGCCTGGCCAAGATGGTGAAATCTTGTCTTTACTAAAAATACAACAAATTAGCCGGGTATGGTGGCATGTGCCTGTAGTCCCAGCTACTTGGGAGGCTGAAGCAGGAGAATTACTTGAATGGGAGAGGCAGAGGTTGCAGTGAGCCGAGATCACACCACTGCGCTCCAGCCTGGGCGACAAAGTAAGACTCAGTCTCAAAAAAAAAAAAAAAAAAATGACAAACGAAATAAAATCCTGACTAAGTCATGGTAAAAAGAAGTCTCTGAATTTGAATAAAGTGGAGCTGTGCTGCAAAGGCAAAGATAATGTTTCTCTTTCACTTCTTGAGAACCGGGAAGCATTACAGATGTTAATGGACAGTGACCGGTCTGATGTCATTACCTATGTTAAAGAGAAAACAGAAGCAAAGATAAGGGGAGTCTGAAATCTCTTCCGTGGCAAACCACCATCATGGGCAGTAACTGTTACAGTTTGTGGCTTAAAGACGTGCTTATTTTGATAAGCATGTTTTAGTGAAACGTTGTCCTGACCACGCCACCATCGCCTTCCACCATGTCCCTCACACAGCAAAAAAGAGATGAAAGGGTTGCTCTCTCCATGCAAATGTCAAGGGAGTGCTCGACAGTTGCCATGGCTCTGTACTGCAAGCTCTGCAGGGCATTCCTGAATCAGCTCACAGGACACCTAACTGCTACAGCCATCTTTATGGAGGGGGTCTCTCTGGAGACTGACCACCTGGGATCCAGTTCTGGCTCTGCCTCTCATCAACTGGGTTTCCCTGTGGAAGTCATTTACCTCCCCTTGTTTCAATATCCTCACCTGCAATGTGGGCAGAACAATATCGCCTACATCATAGGATTGTTAGAAGTTTAAATCGATATAAAATCACTAGAAATATGCCTGGCACGTAGTGAAGTACTCAGTCATTGTCACTTTCATTTAATATCCAGAATGCCCGGTGCTAAGGGAATTTATCTTTCTACTGGGAGAGGGAGGAACAGTGGGGGTCACTTCCACTTTCGTGGACTTGTGGGTAGCCATGGGAGAAGTTTTCACCATTGCACTCTCTCCCTATTTTGGCCCTAACTCCTATGCCCGTCTCCTGCCAGGTTTCTCTTAGAATTCTGCACTCTATAAACCAGCCAAGTTCACTCCGTCTTCGCAGCCCTTGCATCTTCTCGTTAGGCCTGGAATAGTTGCCTCTTCCCTCCTCCCAGCAAGCTCTGACTTGCTAATTCACAGTCATTGGCCAGCCCTCTGCTGGGATGTCACCATCTCTGAGAAGAGTTCCCACAATCTGAGTTTGGTGTTCTTCATACTTGTGCTCAAATTCTCCCCTATACTTCCATCACCATCCTTCATTCCCTGTTTACTTTTCTGTATCCCCCATGAGAGTGCAAGTTCACATGGCAGGGATTTGGTCTCGCTCTTCCACTGAGTTTCTCATTTCTCATAGGCTGTTCAATGGTCCTGAATGGATGAAGGAATCAACTAAGGTCAATAGGAAAAGCTGCACCTTCCCAGAACATGCTATTATCATTTGCTTTGCTCAAAACCACCAGGGTCTACCCAAAGGACATTGATGTTCTGACTATTACTGCATTCAAAGCCCACATTACAGAAGAACCAGTGTTGGAGGTATATGCAAATAATTGGTTCATCTCTAATAAAACTAACACTGGGAGAAATCCATAATGCACTACAAACAAGGAAAGTTCAAAATAATAGAATAGTAGAATAGGAGAAATGCTTTCATTGGAGCTTATGTAGTCTAAGAAGAAAAACTCAGATGGGCATTTTTGTTCACTGTTTTTAACATGGCTATACTTAATGATGTAATCAAATTGCAGAGTTTACATTTATCTCTTAGAATATACTAAATAGTTGTACTCTTACAATTTTTGGAGCATATATAACATATACTTGGCTGGAAGCTGTGGCTCATGCCTGTGATCCCAGCAATTTGGGAGGCTAAGGTGGGCAGATCACGAAGTCAAGAGATCGAGACCATCCTGGCCAACATGGTGAAACCCCGTCTCTACTAAAAATATAAAAATTAGCTCGGTGTGGTGGTGTATGCCTGTAGTCCCAGCTACTCAGGAGGCTGAGGCAGGAGAATCTCTTGAACCTGGGAGTTGGACGTTGCAGTGAGCCGAGATCCTGCCACTGCACTCCAACCTGGTGACAGAGTGAGACTCAGTCTCAAAAAACAAGCAAACAAACATATACTTGGCTTTGTAGTGGACAATCAGAATGGTGAGAAAAGCTATCAGGAGGCAAGCATAGTGAGGCAAACAACTGATTGGGGTAAGTCACCCTTGCCTCCTACCCATGCTTGAAAGATATATTTAATAGAGGCAGAAGCTTGGTACAGTACAGATGAATAATTCAGCTCTTCATTTCTCTTTGTGAATGCAGGTTGAATCTGGATTTAGACATAGGCAACAACAATAACATAACTGGTATATTCAAGCATGACAGATATATACGAGGCCCTGCTAAGTCCCATTCATGTGTTATTTCATTTAATCATCACAAGAATCCTATGAGGTAGAGAATGATTTAACAATATAGATGAGTAATTTGAGGCTACGTGATTAAGAAATTTGCCTGAGGTCACACAACCAGCAATTAGTAGAACCAGGCTTCAAACCCTTGGTCTTTGGATTCCAGCGTTTTTCCCATTCACTTCCAGCCAACACTGCCACCCTCACCCATACTCAGGCACCCTGAGAAAAACCTGAGATCTGGAATCTGAAGACTCACATTAATGATTGCTCATATCAGCTTGAGTAGTTCACCTCATCTCTCTGGATCTCTATTTCATCATCTATGATATGAAAATAATAATATTATCTGTCCTACCTGCCTTCCAAAGCTTCCATGATAATCAGGTGAGATGGTTTACATGCAAGAAGTTAAGAAACAGGAATGTGTTATACAAATATCAGTTAATAAAGTGTATTTAAAAGCATAGTCTGGGCCAGGCAGGGTGGCTCACACCTGTAATCGCAGCACTTGGGAAGGCTGAGGAGGACAGATTGCTTGAGCCCAGGAGTTTGAGACCAGACTGGACAACATGGCAAAACCCCATCTCTACTAAACGACAAAAAACTCACTGGGTATAATGGCACATGCCTGTAGTTCCAGCTACTTGGGAAGCTGAGGTAGGAGGAACCCTGGCCATGGAAATTTCAGTGAGCCATGATCACATCACTGCACTCCAATCTGGGTGACAGAAGTAAGACCTTGTCTCAAAAAAAAAAAAAAAAAAGCATAGTCTGTTGAGTTTGTATGAATTTTGCTGGTCTGTGGGAGTATTTTACTTGTGACAGTTGAAAATCTGTTCCACCCAAGTCAAATCCCATCGATAGGTGACAGTGATGGACTTTGCCCACACAGATTAATGGATGTGATTTGAAGGAGGAAGTGGCTGTCCCATAACCATACACTGCAGGCTTGTGGAAACAGTAATTGCTACCTGTAGAAAAATAGGACACCGAGATAAGGTTCCCATTCTAAACATACTTGTGCTTGGTTGGAATCAACACTGCCTGAAGATTAAGCAAAGGTGGATCACAGGGATTCCCGAGAGTTACAAAATAATCTTATCTAAAGAACAGACCAGCATCTTTACATCCATATATTAATAAATATCCAAACATCTATTTATTTGAAAAACACTGATTAATTACAAGGTTGTAAAATGTTTTAATGTTCTAATGTAAATGTTCTAAT